CAAAGTCTGCCCAAACCCGACCCATGACCCGTCGGTGTCTCGGGTCGGCTTCGGGTCGACCCGACCCATTTACACCCTGAGTGAGAGTACACTCTTGACGGCCAGGAGGCCTCTTTCCTCTCCACCATCATGAGTGACACTCTCAATGACCAAGAGGACTCCTCCCGGCTACTCAGAGTATGTACACTCTTGAAGGCTAAGAGGAGACCTCCTTCCTCTCCACTGTCAAGAGTACTGTACACTCTTACTGGCCAACTTGATGGCAGAGAGGAAACCTTGGCCCTCAGGAGCTCTTCTCAATCCTCCAATCACTCCCAAACCCCCTACTTGATTCTGGAGGATCAACTCCCAAATCAATCCATGAGGTTTCCATTTTTTTTTATTACATTTTTTCTTTTGTTGGGCTGTCAACTCCCAAACCCACCACTACATAGTTTTGGAAGATCAACTCCCAAAACTTTGGGGACAAAAAATGGGGGTGGAGGGGGGAGGGGATGTCCTGAGACAGTCTCCAGATCCTGGGGGTATGGGAGTTGACTCTCCTCCGGCAATTGCTGTGATTCAATTACCCAAGCCGCAAGATTGATTTGAGATGACCCACCAACCCCATTTTTCTGATTAGATGACTGCCACGTAAACCCATCTGAAGCTTTGATATTTTCATACAGATCTGGGAGAGATCCAGGGAAAGATATCCATAGCACTTTGATGGAGACCCCGAAATGAGGACCTTGCAGTCCGGCAGATTTCCAAAGTTGATAATTGAGTGACATCAACTTGATGTATCAGATCAATGTAAAAAAAAAAACAGACCAGTGTCCAAATGGTGGACAGAACTCTCTCAGTTGTCACAAGGGCGGTGGAACAAAGCTTGTTGTGATGACTTGGCAAGACTATTAATCAGCAAATGGTAAGATATCTACGCAATACCTTGAATGATCACACACATATAGATCAGGATGTAAACGGGTCGGGTTTGGGCCCAAAAACAGTGCCCAAACCCGACCCGACACCTATGTCGGGTTGGGTCGGGTCGGGTCAAACTTGAATATGTGCTGCCCAGACCCGAACCCGTCTTGGGACTTTTCGGGTTCGGGTCGGCAGTTTGTATGCCGGGTTCGGGCCGACCCGACTGTTTTAGCCTTTGTAGAGCAACTCTGACAAAAACTGACCTGCCCGACTATCAAAACACCTGCCCGAACCCGACCCGCTAAGCTTCCGGGTCGGGTTTGGGTCATGTGATTTTCTCACAAAGTCTGCCCAAACCCGACCCATGACCCGTCGGGTCTCGGGTCGGCTTCGGGTCGACCCGACCCATTTACACCCTGACATATAGAGAGATGAGAGAAGGAGAGAGAAATGGCCATGGTGTTTAAAGACACAGAGTCTGATGAAAAAGAGATGCTTTTCTATAGACGAGGCAACAAGGGCAAACAAAGAGCTAGCAGTGGATATGGGAAAAAAAAGGTGGATAACCAAAAGAAGCAGGAGAAATAACAGGATCTGCGAAGAGGAGAAAAAAAAAAGAGGGAGAGAAACGCAGTACCGGACAGGCTATCGGGGGTGAAACAAGGGCAATCACTTATCTACAATAGCCCATCTGGACATCATCAATACTAACAGCTACCAAAGAAACATCCATTCATGTGTTAGAGAAAACCCCAGCAAGGCCAACGCAACAAGTGATGCTTGTATATCTGATAATCTCTTGAGTGAACTTCAAACGCAGGATGATGAAAGATTGATTTGGATGGGCAAAAAATTTCTCTGTTTTGTGTTTGTTTTCTAAGAATTAGGAACGCATATATATGTTGAGAACAGTCTGTGTGTAAGAATGAAAAGGCTAGAGTCGTTTTGAAGATGATAAGTTCGATTAGGTAGGAGAGAAGACGAACAGGATTGTGACTATTGAGGGGCAGTCTCTGGAGGAGCGCTGGTCTTGGATGCCGTACTGGCGACCAATGGTTTCAAGGCCTTGTGATAGACGGTCTGGGCCCCACGGGTTTGGGGCAACATGAGCCAAACAATGAATACACACTTGAAGGTGTAGTCTAGGGACACCCAACGAAACAAAGATTAGCGATGGAATGAGGGTTAGATTTGAGAGGGAAAATGAAACTGTTTTGACATACAGAATGGGAACCAGTACAGGATAATGTCGGCAAAGGTCTCGATGATGTTGAAGAAACCAAACTGAACGGATCGATCAAGGCGAGGGCAGAAGGCAGATTAGTGAGGGGGTGTGGTAAATATCTAAGGCAATGTGAAGGGTGACTTACGACGGTCCAGTAGGTTAGCCACTGGACATCATCACCGGAGCTGGGAGATTCCAGGGCCTGGATGGAAAAGTAAGCCGGTAAACCCCAACCGAGGGCGGTGGTCAAGAACCCAGCGAAGATGTTGAAGAAGATGAAGATCGAGAAGAGCCCGGCGAGACCAAGGACACCATATGCCTTAGGAACTTGGAGTTGTTGCTCGAGCTTGGTCAAGGCTGGGTATTTGGAGAGCTAAGTTTAATCGATCAGACAATCTCGATCAGTTCGTTGTTACAAGGGGAAAATCAAAACAGAAGACACATCTGAATTTGGCTCGAATACTCACCTCCTTGTCGATCTGAGCGATGTAATAGTTGAATTTATCTTGAGCAGACATGGTCGATGATTTGAAAATTCAGTTTCTTGTCGAAAAATCTGGATTCGGAGCAAGGACGGATAAGTTTGTTAGCCAGGAAATGGACTACAACAATAGCAACAAGGCTTGAAATCAGTGGAAGGGGGGGGGGGGGTGATAGTGAGCCTTTTGAAAAACTCGATTGGGTGTTATTAGGAGGGGGTAGCCTCACAGTCGGTTGGCAATATACAGACTATAAGGTGTGGTTAGTATGAAATTGATGGAGGGACAAGCTTATAAAGTAGGAACTATGAAAGTGGTCATTGGCTCTGGGAAACAGTCAAGAGGGAGGAGGGGGTTAAAAGATAGATAAGGCTCTAGCGGCTCCCACCCCAACGATTGAGTCAGTCTGACTGGGGCTCTCAATGAGGTGGGGAGGGAAAGAGCATAGATGGTCAGGAACAGATGGGGTGGGCAGTGAAATAGCAAACGAGTGAAGATAGGAGTCAGTCAGACTGAGACATAGTCGAGCATCTTTTGGTTATTAGCAGATTGGCCGAGAAATCGAGAGAGGGAGAGAGAGAGAGAGAGAGATAGGCTCAGGGTGATGGGTGTGCTGAAAAGGAAAGATATCGAAGGAGTGATGATGATTATCACTTCTTTTTCAGTCTCAGCAAGCCAAGCGGGGTATGGAACGGCCAACAGGGTGAACAAGCTCATCGGGCTCCAGCTGATCGGACACGTCATCCGACTCAAGAGCGGTTACAATACACCATGACCACTCTCTTGAAGCCCATCTCTGCTCTTGTTGTTGAGGGTGGATAGTTGGCCGAGAGAATGTAGCAGTAGTTTGTTTATAATGATAACTGTGGAAGTGAAGAAGGAGAAGAACCTGGTGGAGATCGAGAGATGCTGACGTACCACTCGATTCAAGCGGGGGTTCGGAATTCGATTAAAGGGTGCTGACTAAAGAAGGAGCAAGATCGAAACTGGCTTGGTCAAACTCAACTGATCTTGATCGATGACTTGACGAAGAGTGGTGGTGGGGCTTACTGGGTTTGGTTTGTTGATTCAGTTGGTGGTGGTAGTGCTGCTCGGGTTCTGGGGAGGAGTCGAAGGAGGGAAGCCTGCACACAAAAAGCAATCCCTCAAGACTGACGTTCCAACCGACTCCAGGCGCGGATATGCAGTCATACATATTGCTATTCGAAATTGCATACAACATAACCATACCAACAAGCTATCACATCACATAACAGCTATATGTAGGTAATCCTATGTGTATGTACCTCTAACTCAAATAGATCAACTGCCAGCTTCACTTAAAAACAAATGGTACACTAAATTGTTGAAGTGACACTTCCATACAGACCATGAGTTGATCTGCATACTTGACTTTTCCATTGCTAACATTCAGAAAATCTCATGCTTTGTAATTGTAGATACAAGATCAATCATGCTGTATCTTCCAAGCTCATAAGCTATATGTACATTCATGAGCTCTGGAACCTATTCCTGGTAGATCAGCTCAAGCTAGATCCACACAAAACCATTTGGCAAGATATCTGAAACAATCTCTGAACCAAGCTCTTGAGGTACATATTCAACAGCTCACAAGGCTTACTAATCATGCATGGACTAGAGATAAAATATTCTGCAATGGAAGTGCAAGTACTGATTGAAGTTCCATTATAGCATCAGAAAAGAGAAAGAGAGCACTGAGGTTCCTTAGAGTCAGTGGAGCACTTCCCGTCACACTTGAGAGTGCTTTTTAGACCCTTCTCAGTCTTAAATCAAGAACACAATTAACATTTCAACCAGCTCATGTGAGAGCTATTACCAGAAGGCTTCAGGAAAAAAAGGGTTTTTTGATAAAAAATTTAGATCTAAGGGGTGTAAATCAACTTCTCGGAGGGTTGTAGATTGTGATGGGAAGTCATCCAGTACCATAGGGCACAAAAATTCAATTGTTCAGAATTTATCTTATTTAAATTATTATTTCATCAAAATTGAACATCACCAGAGGCCAGTCATTAGCATAAAATTGACGGCTTTCAATATTAGTTCTATCCAACTTGTGTCAAACTTTGTGCAGAAGGCAGAAAAAAAAATGCCCATTTTTCAAAATTCAATCCCACAGTACTGACCCCTATCCAACTGATGATAGTAATAGAACACTCTTACTGGGTGCATAGGTACTACATAGTCACTCAATTAAGCAGCAACTGAAATCTGAACAAAGCGGTAGATGGGCAGTTTCTCAAAGGATTTTGATCATACTCTTCACTATGAATGCAATCTCAAATCCAATTGGATCACAAATGAATTACATGATTGTGGATCCAGAAAGGGTCAATTTTTGACAATCAACATCAACAAAGAGATTTTTGTTCTGTTAAGAATTGGCTGCATTTCATGAGTAAAAATATAATCGGAATAACTGGGAGCAAGCTGGGGGAAAAGTGCTTGAAACTGAGAGGGAAACAGCAGATTCATTCTAATCAAGGAACTTATTGCCATCAGAGGGGATGTGAGAAAAAAATCTCCCACTGGGAGCAGTTTGGTTTTGTTGAAAAAGAAGGTCAGAACCAATGAGCTTTTATTTCTTGTAGCTGATGGACTATGTACAAGATGTTCAAGCAGTGGTTATGATATTGAATATTCAACCAAAACAATTTATTCAATAATGAATAGATTAGAAATGGCAAAAGATATAAAGAAGAGAACATGAGTGTTGATGAGAGGGTTACTGCCTAGGTTTCTTGATCTATAGAATTCAAGATTAAGATGAAATGATTTAGTCATGAGTAAAAAGACAAGGAATGAGATTGAATTTCAACACTAATAACATAAAATAGAAGAACCCGCAGGTTTTTATTCTCATAAGAGCCAAACCTGATGAAATAATTGAAAAAAGGCACAAGATATGTAGATGAGGGTTTCAATCATAAACTTGTTTAGCTTGTGAAGTTTTATAGAAAATGTATTCCTTTGCTACAAAACATTTACCCAAAAACCTTTTTTTTCAAAACAGTCCAACCACCATATGATGAACTTCTATACTTTCATTCAAGGTGTTTTTTTTGTAGTGCAAAACACTTGGATTGTAAAAATAAAAAAAATTTACAGATATCAAAGAAGTTTGATCTCAATTTTTGGTTCAATTGATTAGGACAGGAAATTTTATTTTTTGTCAAATGGCTACATGAAAGCTGTACTTGGAAGGTCTGGAAACTTACCTGGATCTAAACATGGATTAGCCCAACCTCCACAGGTAATTTATCTACATCATAGCCTTGTGTTCATGTGCAACATTGTCTTGTCCCAATTTTGACTGAGATTTCAAACTGTAAGATGTTTTCAAACTGTAAGATGTTTTCATACTGTATAAAGATGTTTTCAAACTGTAAGATGTTTTCAAACTGTAAAATTTTTTCAAACTGTAACATGGCAGATGAAATTTTGAGACTATTAGAATTGTATAATGCAATTTGACTTGGATAAGAGCCTGGAACTGTTGGATTATATTCTTATAATGTGGTATGCTTCAATCAAGCCACAAGACAAATCCTGTATATAGGATTAGTCTAGCAGTTTCTCTCCAAGTGAATCTGAACCAAGTTGTTTATTGCTCACTCTTAAAGTGTCACATACAATCTTTCCATGAACTGCAGTCATCTATCTCCCCTTTCTGTCTCAACAGGAACACAGTGTGAAGAGCACGTTTTTTTTTTTGGTCTGTTATCATACTTGAATTCAATTTCTAACAGACAGCCACAGATTTTGACATAAATGTGGGATGGCTCAATCAAGAAAACATGAAACATCTAGCAACAAGGTTCTTGTATGCAAGATATTATCATGCCACAACAGGAAAAAAAGGAGGACCACTAGATGCAAGGTGAGATGTCAGGGCTTCACCCTTACTTTAGCTGTACAGTAGATTGAAGCATATTACCAACGCTGCAACAAATACAATACACAGTTTGTATCATGAGGAGTTGTACCGACATATATGACAAAGAGCCAGATTAAATGAATAAGACCCTGAATAGAACCACATTGGTCATGAAAAAAATTACATCAAAACCATGATACATGAAAAAATACATGCCAATACATTTCAAATACTGTATTTGTTGCAGTGTTGTTCCTTACCATAGTTTGAGTTCTCTTCTCTCCTTTTTTCCTCAAGCTAGTCTTCATTCTTTATCCTCAAGGTTTCTCTTTTCTGAATTTCTCACAAGACACAGTGAATTCAAATTCTTTTTATAGGATTCTAAGTTCTGGCCTCAGGCCCTCCAACCCACTCACTTGATCAGTGAAGAAATTCCAGTCGTTACATGAGATCAATCAAAGTTCAACATGCTACCTAGAGATGGTCGTGTTGCATCCGGATATCCGCGCGGATGCGGATATCCGGGTTGCTTTTTCCGGGGAAAGCGGCATCCGCATCCCCTGGCGGATATCCCCCCGCCTTAGCGGTATCCGAGCGGATATCCTCGGATACCCGCCCTTTAACCAGTCGTCGAGGTACATCCCCTCGCCGGCTGGAAGGCAACCCTCCCAGTCGACGAGCCATGTACCTCGCCGACTGGAAGGACCTTGCCGGCTGAAAGGAAACCCTTCCAGCCGGCCATTGGTCTCGGGTATCCCAGGGGATACCCGGATATCCTCCGGGATTTGGGGGGGAAAGGACATCCGCACCCGAATCCGCATCCCCTGGCGGGTATCCGCTGGCCCTGGCGGATATCCGCCAGCGGATAGCGGATATCCGCAACGGATTATCCCCGCCCATCTCTAATGCTACCCAATACATATAACCCACGTCAAACTTTCCCTAATCTTATACCCTTGTACTACTGTAGCACTCAAAGGGACCATTGCAGTTGGGTTGCTACCAAGCTGGAGCTAAAAAAAGTGTAATCAATGTTAATTGATGTCACATGAAATTCAGAAAGCATTCAATTCTCCTGTTTTCACCATCCCATCACATATGAATTTTGGAAACCTGTATGTACAAAATTTGTGACACCACTTCTGAAACTGAATATATTATGTATGTCTTTTCTATGCCAGTGATCAATTATCAGTCTGGAATTTAATGACATATACTGTCAAATTAGCTTACTTTTCATCACCACATGATGATTGCACCATTTAATGTATTTTCCCCCTGGAACATACAGCTGGCTAGCTTGATTCTCCCCAATTAGATCAATCAAAGTCCATAAATTACCATCTACTTGAAGATTTTATGGGCCAATCTCATCTCAAATTTATTTTTGGTCACAAAATTTCCATCTAAAATTCTCTCCTTTCCTATCTTATTGTTCAAGGATGTATAAATACATGAAAACATTTCTGGCTATGTATTTCACCCTTGCCATATTTATTGCAAACACACAAGCTGGCATCTCCAAATACAGTTTGTTAAGGCGCTCAATGGCTGAATCCAGTGGCAATGTGATTATATCGTAAGTATTCAGATAACCCATAAATGGAAAAATTTAATTTATTTCCCATCCATCTCCTTTTGATTTTACATCCTAGTCTCTCTAAATCATGAATGTCTGATTGAGAAATCTCACTGCATCAAAATCAATGACTAGGCCTAATTTTTCATTTTGTTTGTGGATTTTCTAGTGGCAAAGATTTGTTGGGAAAATTGATCAGTGGTGCAGAAAGCCAACAATCTTCTTCTTCCCCTGAACGTATTCAGGCTGAAAACACTGTGAGAGAAATGTAAGATTACAAATGACTGATGCATTTTTTGTGAAAAAGCACTCAACTTATATGAAAATTTGATTCTTTCAGGTCACTTGATAGATATATTCACGCTACACTAGATGCTTTTGGACTTTCAGGAATAAACCATTACAATATCATGATGAACCAATTGAGGTTAGTAAACTTCAATAATTTAACTTTATAAATGATCAATCATCAACAAACTATCTCAAATTTATCTGAAATAATTTCAACACTTATTCTGATCACTGGAAAATCTCAGATCCAATATTCCTTATATTGGAAATCATAATTCTCGTCAAGTAAATTGGCTGGACAATTTGGTCCTCTTTACTGTGAGAGGCCTTCCATCTAGGACAAAAATGTTGGTTTTTGTTTTTCTTCCTTTTGTCAAATTCTTAATTCTGATGTTTTTTCATTCCTTTTTCAGAGGTGGTGTGAGAGTAGATACTTGTTTAGATGATAAAGCATGGGATAAAATGATTCAGGATTTCCTATCAATGATTCTTGATCATTAACCCCAAATAATGCTTATTCAAATTGTGTGGCCTGTTAAGGAGTGGGAATATGCATACTTGAGATTGTTCTAGTAGAAACTAGAGATGGTCAAAGGGTATCCGTTGCGGATACCCGCCAGTGCCAACAGATACCCGCCAGTGCCAACGGATACCCGCCAGTGCCAACGGATACCCGCCAGTGCCAACGTATACCCGCCAGTGCCAACAGATACCCGCCAACGGGTGCGGATGGCCCCTTTTCCGCAAAAAGTTGGCGGGTATCCGGGTATCCCAAAGGATACCCGCGGCCGGAAGGCAAGATGGCCGACTGGAAGGAGACCCTTCCAGCCGGCGAGGTACTTGTACCTCGTCGACCGGAAGGGCAGCCTTCAAGGTACAAGTACCTCGACGGCTGGAAGGGTCTCCTTCCAGCTGGCGAGGTACAAGTACCTCGATGGCTGGAAGGGTCTCCTTCCAGCCGGCGAGGTACTTGTACCTCGTCGACCGGAAGGGCTTCCTTCCAGCCGGCAAGGTATAGAAACCTCGCACAACTCTGGCCGTGAACTTGCCCCCGATAAGGCCGCAGCAACAATTCCGATTTCAAATCGTGAGAGCTGGCCCTTCATTTCAAGACTATGTGGTGTATAGATAAAAAAAAGAACTAAGAAACATCAAGTATTCAGATGAAAACGGAGGCGCCAAGGAGGGGAGCGAGGTTGATAAGCAGATTATTGAGACTGAGTCAATTCAGAACCGGATGGAGCATCAACATATTGGTAGCGGACTTGAGAAAACGAGTGAGTGTCAGAGAATCGTGAGTTGGAGCTTTGTTGACTAACATTACACTCATCCTCTAGAAATTGCTGCGAGTGAACACGACTTGAGTACACACCACGAGAAGGGTGAGTAAAACGTTGCTTGATGGTCACACTCACAGGAGGATTTAACTGAAATAACAGTTTCAGCGCTAGAGAACTTGGCTCAAAAGCAAGCAGATTACGATTCGATGACCAAGTTGCTTGATTGGACTAACAGAGAAATTAGGATAGTCTTTGCAACTCAAATTCTTGAAAACGCCCCGGAATTACACGTAGACAAATCTGGCATTGAGATGCTGAAGGAGATTGATGAGGAATTAACAGTGGTCGCTAACGCTGCACTGTCCATCTATGGCCCCCCGAAGACACCACCTGAGAAATCTTTACTCCTCAAATCATCCACCCAACTTTTGCACCCGAGCTTGATGAATACTGTCAAGGTCTATAAGGAAGGGATTCCTAGGCTCTTCGAACTTCTATATACACCCGCAACCTTGTCGCCATACTACTCATATGTTGGAATCGCTTCAAAAAGCTGTATACTGAAAATGTTTGAATACTTGAGCAAATACAAGATGATGCCTACTGATCTAGAGGATGGCTTTAGAATGACGATGAAAAGTCCCGCTGGCCTAGAATGGATAGCAAAAGAAATGCAGGGCGCATTCCTGCCAGGCTCCAAGTACGGGATCAATTTTCACGTCCCCCTGAATGAAGCTGTACCTCGTCGACCGGAAGGACTTCCTTCCAGTCAACGAGGTACAAGTACCTTGCCGGCTGGAAGGAGACCCTTCCAGCCGGCCCTTTAGAGGGCGGGTATCCGAGGATACCCGCTCGGATACCCGCCAGCGGGTGCGGATGCGGATGCGGATGCTCAGATGGCCGGAAAAAGCAGCCGGATATCCGCATCCGCGCGGATATCCGGATGCCAATCGACCATCTCTAGTAGAAACATGAATTTATTAAGAACCAATTTGACTAGTTTCTTCTTGAGTAAGATATTTTACTTCTTTAAAGAGTGGATTTTGAAAGGTGTGATCAAATCCAATGGAAATTTGATATCAAGTATCCAAGTATATTAAATTCAGTGATTTACAGTTTAAAAATTCAAGGGGTTCCCCTTACAAATCTGAAAATCACAAAAAGAAGGTCAAGGGTTTTGTTCTGCAACAAAAAATTGAAAATATTGACATGAATTCAGGAAAATTACAATGAAATTGAGAAAAGAAAGTGAGGAAAAATAAGCTCCCCAACATCAGCAAAGCTGGTGCACTTGGACTCAGATGCCAGCCCATGTCATTCCATGGGTCAAAAAATCTGAGCATGAAGGCCCCCAGCCTGCTGCAAAGGCAGCTGACAAGTGGGTGGCCAACTCTTTATCCCCTCAAACTGTGCAAATCCAACAGCGGAGAGGAAGAGGACACTGATTGTTGGAATTACAACTTTCTTGGTTCCTGGGAGCTCCATATTTTCAACTTGGTACTCCGCTTTTATATCCATCAGAAACCAATTTTTTTTACTTTCTTGAACCCTTTGATCCATTCAAAATCCTGGTCAGATTTCAAAACCCCTAGGCCCATTCAACAAACCATTGCCATGGTGGCAACCAATAACCCAGAATCAGGACAAACCTGGCAAATCAGTGAGTCCGACCGGCCCCAGAGCAAAGATGAGATAGTATCTCCTGTTCCCTCCAGGACAAACAGGTCCCAGAGTCAAGAGGAGAAATCTTTTTCCCTCCCCTTCGGTACCAACTGGTTCTAGATTAAACAGAGGACGTTCTCTCCCCTCCCATCCAGAATCCATTGGCTCCAGAGTACAGAGGGGATCTTCTCTCCCCTCCCCCCCCCCCCCCAGGACCGACCGGTCCCAGAGCAAAGAGAAGATATTATCTCCACTTCCATCCAGGACCGACAGCTCCTAGAGCAATAGGGAGATATTCTCTACTCTTCCCTCCAGGACCGACCAGTCCTAGAGCAAAAAGGAGAAATTATCTCCCCTCCCCTCCAGAACCAACTGGTTTCAGAGTAAAGAGAGAACGTTCTCTCCCCTCCCCCCTGGGCCGGCCGGTCCCAGAGCAAAGGGGAGATATTATATCCCCTTCCCTCCAGGACCAACAGGTCCCAGAGAAAAGAGGAAATGTTATCTCCCCTTTCCTCCAGGACCAACCGGTCCTAGAGTAGAGAGGAGAAATTCTCTCCCCTCCTCCAGAACCAACCGGTTCCAGAGTAAAGAGATGATGTTTTCTCCGCTCCCCCGCAGGACCGACCGGTCCCAGAGCAAAGAGGAGATATTATCTCCCCTTCTCTCCAGGACCGACCAGTTCCAGACGAAAGAGGAGACATTCTCTCCCCCTCCTTCTAGGACTGAATGTTTCCAGAGTAAAGATAGGGCATTCCCTCCCCTCCCCTCCAGGACTGACAGGTCCCAGAGCAAACAGGAGATTTTATCTAACCTTCCCTTGTTTTATAATTCAGCTATTCCCTCACCCAATCTGTCAAGACATGCCTCTCTTGTCAAATGAATCTTGAAACATAGAGCCAGATTGACTAAAACAAAGAATATCCAACAAGAACAAGATAAGAAATGATAAATTATTATTTTTTCAAACATAGAAATAACTTGGAAAATAGACATGAATGAAAAGGACTTCAGAACAGACTTGAAATAAGGTGACTTGTGAGATAAAAGCTGGGAGGTACACATGTCACCCATCATGAGAATCAAAACTAGTGACAACACTTGATCATGAGAAAAATCAATGTGACAGATGCAAGAGACAAGACTTGAGGAATCATACCCTAGCTAATAAAACCGTAAAAAATACCAGCCAGATATGTATAAAGCCTTTATCCTTTATTAAAGGGAACCCTGAAACATTTGCAAGTGGGCATTTAATCATCATCATCATCAGTCCCAGCCACGGCCCACCAGCCCCCATAACCTCCAACTAATCTTTACCAAACCTTTGCCCCATTGTTATTTTGTTTTAGGCAATAGTTACATACATTCTGCTATGATGACTGCACTATAAAGTGTTGGGAGTGGTATTGTGTCAAACATCTAAGGATCTCCCAGTAAATCTCATTTCATTTGGAATTTACCTGGGAAATATTTTTCCTCAAGCATATCCAAACATCCTTGAATTATTAAGGCACCATATCCTCTCTCATTATATTCTTTTTAAAGTCTGTTTCTTATTGGGCATATGAAAATCCATAGTCACCCAGTCCACTCTCTAACTAATGTCTCTGTTTGACCTCCCAAACCCAATCTTAACTACCATAAATTGGTAGTAACCAGAATAGATAAAAAAAGTATTATCTTGGTACTTCAACAACTCACACATTGAAACAGGTCTACCAGCACATAAAAATCCATTTGCCCCAATGGTTCTGGTAAGCTTGTTGGAATATTTCTGCCAGGATATCAATATTGATGTGTCTTGCAACAACGCTGCCACAGATAGGATACACTGTGTGTATCATGGAGAATTCTGCAAAGCTGCATGTCCAAAAACCAAATTTGTTGAATCTCCTTGCAAATAAAATCAGATTGGTCAGATAGTTTTTTTTTTATTGGGGCTCAGATACATAGTGATACATGGCAGATACGGGCAGATACCGTATCTGTGGCAGCGTTGCTTGCAGACACATTGAAACACATTGATTTGATATCTGAAAGACTTATTCCAACATGTTTGGCTGCCTGTTGGTACATACTTATCTACTGCAGTCTGGTGAAATGATTAATATGTTGGCCTTATGAGTAGGGTACATTTGGGAGCTTAGAGTCAAACCAAGCTGAATTAATTGATGAATCACATGTAAATGGATCTCCAGAAACCATTTTAATTATTTATTGATCATGATTATTTGATTGTGACTAATTTTAAATTTGGATAAATGAAGCAACTGAGAGTGCAGCGGCGCAGCCGCCTTGAACTCTAGTGCTTAAATTAAATTCTTTCAATTATAAGAAGAAAATGAAATAAATGAAGGATGCAGTTAAGGTGTTTATATAGCATTTACTATCTATTTCAATTTGATTACACTTCCAAGAGTTCAATCTGAGATGCAAATTGCAACCAAAACTAGTTCTGCATTTTTTAGATGCTTATTTTTTGTCTGGTCACCTCCAACTCTTTAGTCTGAAATTGCCAAGTTTTTTTATAGATGAGTGATTAGAAAAACAGGTAGAAAAAGTCAAACTTGAGAAGTTTGGCCTGAATAAGAAAAATAAATGAAACGATTAGGTTAAAAGATGACAGATTTTGGAATGGTAATGGATTAAGCTGATGAGAGTTTCAGCTTCAGTGGCCCTTAGAGGGGTGAATAGAGGGCCTTTGGATCAAACTAGGGATGACACACAGAAATGGGTACCCTATTTTAATTTGATATCTGATCCCTAGACTCAGACCCTGAACCTGTGGTACAGGTACTTTCAGTACGTTTGGAAGGTGCAGGATTTTGGTATCAACACCATTGATTTGTGTTGATGAACTATCTTCCTGGACTGGCAGGTCAGATGAGTCCTCAAAGTGGCCTGTCCAAGTGGTTTCTGAGCAGTCCTCAGACATGACAGTCTGACAAAATGTTGAACAGGCTTGTCCAAACAGTCACCAGGCGGGACCATCTGCTCAGACAAGCAAGTCTGAATTCTCATTGGACAGCCATTTTCAAGAGCTGCTTGGAAAGGCTGGTCTGACAACTTGTCAGACCTGCCAGTCTGAGTAGTTGAGCTTGTGGGTGGGTACCCCCACGGCCTCTGCAAGAGCCCACCCACAGGTGTTGTGTACCAACTGGCTATCTCTAGGTAAAAATCCACCACCCATTCAATTGCTATCACTGGTATCAAAGACAAGGACTTGGAGAGCCTTAGTGTGGGATTGTTTCTTAGCCAAGAGATTCTGCTTGAGCAATTTTTTTTCCACCTCTTTGGCCTCAGAGATGCCTTTTACCAAGTAGATTTATTCTTAATTCCTTGACAGATGCTTACCAAAACATCTGGTGCAGAAAAATCTGGAACAAAGTGTGAAGACTCAAGAGCACTTATTTTTATTCTGTTATCAATGTTAACCTGTGTCACTCAAATTCTTTGGTTACAAACCAAAGAGCAGCCAGAGCTGGGTGAGCTGCCTGGAGCTGGTTCCCCCAGCTGACTAGATTTCCAAAAACACTGACAGAGAGAAAGTCTCTGTAGCTCACACATCCCGCAAGCGGGTGACGTAATTCAAATTCCGTCACTTCGTTTTGCGGGTGTGCAGTCACTGCGGAAGTGACGAAATCCGAATTTTGTCACCCGCTTGCAGGCCGTGTCAGCGGTTTCCACTGGCCCTAACATCTGACCACCCAGCAGGTTGTGGGTTCAATTCCCACTGGCCCCATCCCCTGATGGGGGTTAGGGCGCAGGTTTTTGGGGTTAGGGTTAGGTTTAGGGGTTTAGGGTTAGGGTTAGCCCAGGAGAGGCACAGTACCTGGACAGGTTCAAGCGTAGTTGTTCATCCGCCTGGGTATTGTGGGGCCATTGGGGACCTGGTGTAGTTGTCAGAAATCCAATGGCCCCCCCTTCAATGGAGGGTGGGATGGTTTAGGGGTTAGGGTTAGGGGTTTTGGTTTTTGGTTTTTGGGTTTAGGTTTAGGTTTTAGGGTTAGGGTTAGGGTTTAGGGTTTAGGGTTTAGGTTTAGGGTTTAGGGCTGTTTTTTTATATAAAAAAATTGGCAAAACCGGTTTTTACCCAGCTCATATACCCAGCTCACCCAGCTCACCCAGCTCTGCTTGTTCTTTGGTTTCAAACCAATGATAATGACACCATTTTCTTCGGTTTGGGACCAAAGGATCCAATTTCCAAAACTCTCAATGTTAAAATGCATGAATTCAATTTCTGATAGAAAGCTTACAGATTTTGACACAAATTTGGGTATGGTCTATCATGTAAAAATGAAACCTCTAGCAAAAAGGCTAATTTAATGAGATGTTATCAATCCACACCAGGAAAAAAAATCACTTGATCATGACAAGTGACATCAATTCAAGTTCAGTATGCTGCCCAATACATAAACATTTCAACCTTTCCTCATCCCCCTTTATTGTACATTTTATTTTGCTTGCAACCAAGCTGGAGCTAGAGAGGAGAAGTAGTAAATTTCACATTATGACACATGCCATCCAGTGAGCATTCAATTTTTGCTGGTTTCATGATCCCATCAGGTATAAAGTTTGTACACTTTTATGTATGTACACAATTTTTGACCCCACTATTTGAATTGAGTCTCTATGTTTTGTATATGTCATTTTACAATGTTGGTTGATAAACAAGCAGTCTGGATGGAATAGCTTGTCAAATTAACTTTGATTATATCACCAGATTGTAGTATTGTAGCATTGAATGTATTGGTCCATTGGAAGGCACATCTGGCTAGCTTTATTTTCCCCAAGCAGTTAAGAAAAAGTCTATCAATTACCCATATCATCTCTAATCAAATTTATTTCTGTTCACAAAATTTCCATCATCCTCTCCTGTCTATATATTCTGCAAGGATGGCTCAATATCTTAAAACCTTTCTGGCTATTTACATCACCTTTGCAATAAAGATTGCAACCACACAAACCCACTGCTCTGAAGCCATTTTGTTAAGGCGCTCAATGGCTGGATCTAGTGGCAATGCAATTCAAATGTAAGTATTCAGAGAATCCATAAAAGAATAGATTTAACCAAATTACCATACATTCCCTTTTAATATTACATACAAGTATATGTGAATCAAGAGGGTCTTTGAGTAAAATAATCTCATTACATTGGAACGAATTACTAGACCTAATTGTTCAATTTTATTTTTTGGATTTTCTAGTGGGAAAAAGCCTCTTAAAGACTTGATCAGTGGTACAAGACGACAACAATCATCTTTTGGAAGAGTATCACTACCTATTCCCCCAGAGCGCCTTCAGGCTGAAGATACTGTGAAAGAAATGTAAGATCATAAATTGTTCATGCATTTTTTTAAAAAAGAATTCAACTGATATTAATATTTAATTATCTCAGGTCACTTGATATGTACATTCAAGCTACACGAAATGCATTTGATATTGATGGAAGATACCATGGTATTTTGATGAATCACTTGACGTCAGTAAAATCAATATTTTAACATTCTCAACATTCAATCATGAATCAAATATCAGGAAATCTATCTCACATAGTTTCAACACTTATTCTGATCACTGAAAAATCAAAGATCCCACCTTCCTTTCATTGGAAGAAATGGTTCTATTCCAGGAAATTGGCTGGACCATTTGGTTAGGTTCACTTTGGAAGTGTTTCCATCTGAGGCACAAATGTTGGTTTTTTTTTACCAAATTCTTGGTTCAGATGTTATTTTTATTTTTTGATTTCTTTTTCAGATCTGGTGTGCCAGTAGATGAATATTTGAATCCTCATCAATGGCAGAAAACGACTCAAAATTTCCTATCAATGATTCTGAATAATTAACCACAAATAGTGGTTATTAAAATTGTGTGGCTTTTTAAGGAGTGGAAATTAAAACAATCTTTGAAAATGTGTTAGTACAACTATTAATTTAACAAGAGAACTGATCAGTGGTAGTAACATAGAAGCCCAAAAATCATCTGCTGAAAAGATCATTCTTTCCTCAGCATATATTCAGGCCCAGGAAACCTTGAGAGCAATCAAAGTGTTTAAAATTGCTTCAAGAACTTTTGTGCCCATTAAGAGCATCTTTACCGGTTGAGCTAAAAGCCATCGGTTTTAACTCGCGGCTATTGCTAAGCTACTATAGCGAAGCCTATTCAGCCACACCGGTGTGGCATGAGGTTAAACGGTGTGGTGTGGTTTGAAGTAGGGGTGTGTGATTGTGTGCGGGAGGGCACCAAAATGAAGCACACTCACCGGTTTTTGCTTTTAGCTTGCTTGCAAGCTAACCGTTGCTAGATCTAGCAACGGTTAGCTCGAATCGGAGCCGCGAGCTAGTTTGACTTGACTTTAGCTCAGCCCGGTGTGGTTGAATTTCGCGGCTCAAGTCCTTAGCTCGCGCGGATTTAGCCACCGATACGGATGCTCTAACACAATCAGACATAATCTGTGATTTTGGCTGGGACTTAGCTTGAGTTTCAAGTATGCTGGGGTGCCTAAACACAAATTTCAAGCATCAGACTCAACAATCAGTATGCTCTGTATGCCAGCTTGCCCCAACAAGCAGGCCAGGACAACCGGATCTGAGCATTCAACTGAATTATGGTGTTGTAGGGGTTTTTACAGCATGTATCTGTGTCGAGTTGATTACACTTTCAAAAGTTCAGTCCAAGATGAAATTGAAACTAGTTCACGTTTGTTAGATGAATACATTTTTTGTCTGATCGCCTCAGCCTCTTTAGTCTGAAATTGCCGAGTTGGATGGTAGATGAGCGATTAGAAAAAACGAGTAAAAAGGGTCAAATTCAAGATGTTTAGCCCGAACAAGAAATAAATAAAAAACAGAAAGATGAGGATGAAGGATTACGAACTTCAGAATGATAATGGATTAAGTTGATGGGAGTTTCAGCTTCAGCGGCCCTGAGAGGGGCGAACAGAGGGCCTCCGGAGCGAAGACCAGCGCCCACTCGATCGCCATCACCGGAAGCGACGACCGAGACTTGGAGAGCCTTAGCCTCGTTAGCCTCGGATTTTTTCTTAGCCAAGAGCTTCTTCTTGAGAGCTTCTTCGTCCACCTCTTCGTTCTCAGAGCCGTCCTCCGAGTCCCCACTGTCCAGACCCTGCTCCCGTCGGGCTTGTTTGTCCGCCTGTGAGTTGATCTGGTCCAGTTGATCTAGATAGTCTAGGTTCGGCCTCATCTGTAAGAGTTGGTCCAACGGGACAATGTGCAATTCATCTTCTTCACCTTCGTCCCCATCTTCGCCACCCCCCCTTTTGAGAACCCCTACCGCATAGTTTGACTGTTCCGGGATGAGTGTAGAGCCTAATGACATCTTATCTAATGGATCGCATTCGTCGTCATTCAAAGGATTATGATGCTTCTTATTGAATCCGCTCGACTGGTTATTCTTGCTATCCTGTAATCCTTTTGCGTATTCTCTAGCGCGTTCATCAGAGAACCTGTTCTCGTTGATGCCTATCTTCGTTTCCAATGGTACATCCAATTTAAGTGATCGAACCCCAGGTTTATATTTTGCATGGATCGTTGCCGGTTGTTGTTGCGGATTATGGATCGGGTCTGGCCTTAGGGAAGGCGGTAATAATGGGTGCGATGAGTTGGGGTTTTGGCTCTTGAACGGGTATTGCAATAAGGTCAACGTTTTCGGTCGTTTGTTTTTGGCCGATTGTTGTTGTTGGGATTCGTTTGACGTGCTCTCGTCCTCAAGGACTGGTTTGAAATGTGCAAAAGATGGCAACGAGAAGTCTGGGGTAGAGTTGAAGAACATTGGAATTCTCTTTTTTTTTTTTTTTTTTTTCAAAAAAGCTTTGGGAATCAGTTTCCACCCAAACCATTCTCCCCGAAGAAAAAAAAAAAAAAAAAAAATCCGGAGAATTACTGACTTTTACAATTGGGTCATCATCTTCCTCCGAGCCTGATTCTGAACCGGAGAGAGGGGGTAAGTTTTCGCGTCTTTTTTCGTGGGCCATCTGGATCGTTCGCCCTGTTCGCAATCAGTTGAGGGTGACCAACAACAACACAGCAGCTCACCGGAGCTGTATAGAAAAATTAAATCTACCAGACGGGTCCGGGTCCCCCTAACCAGTCGACCAGTCTCCCCGAACTTCACACGCGCCACCGCGCAAAGTTACGAGTTCATGCAATATGCACATCGACCTTGGCAACTCCAATGCTTTCAGAACACATGGGCACACTTGAAAGATTACTCAACTGTGGGTCATCCTTGCCAAAGAAAAACTTTTTCCTAATTCTTTTATGATCTCACAGATGTGAGGGCTGAGCTCAGTGATCTCAATGGTCTAGAGTGAGCACAGATCTTCTGTCCTCTTGAATAGTTCTCTCCAGACTGTAAAACACATGTGGGATTTGAAAAGGTTGGGTAGTGAAGCGCTTGTTCTGTATGTATGTACTTGGGGCTAGATACTTCAAGGTCATTTCATCCTTGAATTTTTCTTGTGGATAACAGTGAGAAAAGGAGTACCCACAAATTTTAGGAGCTTATTCAAGCTTTCCTTTGCAATCAAGTTCTCAATTGACATGGCTTCCTAGTTAGCCAAGATGAGGCAGAACTACTTGAGCAAATCTCACATTTTTCCTCTTAACTGTCGGAGTTGCATAATGACAATAGTCTTCCAAGACAGTCTACAGAGAGGTGCAAATGTTCAGGTGAGAATTCCTGGAGACTCGATGAATACGGTAATTCTGGAATTTGTTACAATAGAGATCAGCCATGATTCATGTGGTTTTTCGCAGTCCCCTTCGTCATCCTAGAAAAGGAGCTTCAATCTACAATCGAGTATCTCCCATCTCACTCCTTGCACTGAAGATTGCTCACTCACAAACAGCGTTGGGATCCCTGTCAAGTCTCCTATCCTAAGTGTGAGTGCGAATCCTAATTGTTTCAACCAGAACCATGCTTTCATGTGCAATGGAAAAAACAGTCAGAGTGTTTTGAGAAATTTTCATGAATGGGGCTGGCTCATAGTCACAGTCAAGAATCGATTATAAGCTCTAGATCATAATTCTTATCGCGATTGGATAGAGACAATCGTCATTCTGACGTTGATTGATTGATCATTGATACATAATTAATCCTATCTTTTTGTTAAAAACAAAGGACCAACGGTGGTTATACATACCACTGGATCTGGCGTGCCAACGGGTGCTCTCGGGGATTTGACTGTACATGCCGTTCAAGATTGGACGCACTTTTGGGCGATGTTTCAGGTTCCGAATTGACTGTGATGATGGCTGTACATGAGCTCTTTTGGTGACACGGAAATCGGTTCCATCGACTATAAATATTTATACATCGTTGTCTGCTGGGTCCTTAGTCCAGCTCCCCATTTCCTTTTTTTTCTACTTTTTCCATTGTTGAAGTTTAATCGAATTAGAAAACAATTGAGCGGGAGGGGCGCCAGTGCTTGTTTAAACCTTGAATATTGTCAATCAGCCGTCTTTCTCGAATGCACATTGTCGTTTGAGTCTGTCCGAAACCTAGTCAGAAACCGAGCTAAACCGATTTAAATACATATTTAAGCTTTCTTCGACTTGAGCCTGAAAACCACCAACAACCAACCCATCCACACTCCACCCTCCTCTACTCCCCTCGATTCACTCGCCCTTCAACCTCGACTTCTCTCTACCAAGCATACACCTTTCACCAGTCATCCAGATGGGAAACGTCCTGTCCTCTTGCTGCAGCTGTGGTCGTAGGTCCTGATCTCCTAAAAAACCATTCTCACCTGCTGACCATCATCCTCACTCTTTTCCTCTTTGGCGGGGTTCATAGGTAACAGTCGTGGATCTGGATACGAGCCACTCCTACTCGAACCCGAAAGAGATGCGGTGGCCAGCTTACTTCAATTCCTCGAACGTGTGTAGTCTTGACTCTCCAATCAATTCCAGAAGAAAAAAAAAAAGATACAAAAACAAAAACATTGGTCTGACTGATTGTCTTGGATTGCCACTTGATTCGCACAAAATTCAGGACGGACGGACACCAACTTCTTCACCGGTGAACCACTGAAATCACTATCCACCTTATCCTTCTCAGACAATGTAGACCTCCAACGCTCAGCCGCATTAGCCTTTGCCGAGATCACCGAAAAGGACGTTCGCGAAGTCGGAAGAGATACCTTGGAGCCCATCATGTTTTTACTCCAGTCACACGATACTGAAGTTCAACGCGCCGCTAGCGCCGCTTTGGGTAATCTAGCCGTCAATAGTTGAGCATCCCTCACTCACTCCTGGCTGCCAAACCTTAAGCGCTCACGTTGACGTTTGTTTTATTTTATCCTTTCCAACTTCTAGCTGAGAATAAGCTGTTGATTGTCAGACTGGGTGGGCTTGAGCCCCTGATCCGTCAGATGCTAAGTCCCAACGTTGAAGTCCAATGCAATGCTGTTGGCTGTATAACCAACCTAGCCACTCATGGTCAGTACTTCATCCCCTCATTAGTCTGTTTTTCAAGAATTTCCTGACTGATTATTAACAACTCATTGATAATAGATGATAATAAGGCCAAGATCGCAAAATCAGGTGCCCTAGTGCCTCTGACTCGCTTGGCGCGTTCGAAAGATACTCGAGTCCAGCGTAACGCTACAGGTGCTTTGTTAAACATGACCCATTCCGACGAGAACCGTCAGCAACTCGTCAACGCTGGCTCGATCCCGGTTTTAGTCTCACTCTTGTCCTCCTCGGACACCGACGTCCAATACTACTGTACCACCGCATTGAGTAACATCGCCGTAGACACCGCCAACCGCAAACGTCTCGCACAGGGCGAACCTCGATTAGTGAACAGTCTCATTGGCTTGATGGATAGTCCGAGTCTGAAGGTCCAATGTCAGGCAGCCCTTGCATTGCGTAACCTGGCATCTGATGGTCAGTGAAGCTGGCTGTTCAATGCTTTCTGAGTGTGCATTTTGTTGAATTCCTTGACTGATGCTTATCTAAAACACCGGCGTAGAAAAATATCAAATCGAAATCGTTAAGTGCGGTGGATTGCCTCCACTCCTCCGGCTCCTTCGGTCCTCGTTCCTACCTCTCATCCTGTCAGCGGCCGCATGTGTACGCAATGTGTCGATCACCCCACAGAACGAGTCACCGATAATCGAGGCAAACTTCTTGAACCCATTGATTGAGCTTCTAGCTTACGATGAGAACGAGGAGATCCAATGTCACGCCATCTCAACCCTCCGCAATCTGGCCGCCTCCTCAGAGAAGAACAAGGCTGCAATCGTCGAAGCCGGTGCTATCGAACGGATCAAAGAACTCGTCTTGAGTGTCCCCTTGAGCGTCCAAAGTGAAATGACTGCTTGCGCTGCTGTACTCGGACTCAGTGAAGATATTAAAGGACATCTCTTGGATCTAGGCATCTTGGAGGTCTTGATTCCTTTGACAAATAGTGTCAGTGTTGAGGTCCAAGGAAACAGTGCTGCAGCAATTGGCAACCTTTCTTCAAAAGGTATAGATTTCTTTTTTCTTGAATCCCTGGAGCACACGAAGCTGTTGTTTGAAAGTCTAACCAATCTGTTTTTTTTTCTGTATTTTTTCTAAGCTGAGGACTATTCAGCGTTCAATTCAGTTTGGGACAAACCAGAAGGAGGACTAGAGGGATACTTGGTACGATTTCTAGAATCCAGCGACCCGACGTTCCAACACATTGCAGTCTGGACCTGTGTCCAACTACTAGATTCGGGGGAACATTTCTTAGAGAACCATATCCGATCCTCGAAGTTCATCTTACCCTTAGTCACTCAACTAGCCTTATCAAACGACGGTGGTGTCAGCGGCTCAGCGGGCGCCTCTTCGGCCGGTAACGCTCATCCTGATGGCGAGGCCGGAAGTGCTTCTGAAGCGGAAGATTCCGGCGAAGTCGAGATTGCTACCCTGGCTAAGAAAGTCGTCGAGATGTTGGGCTTGGAAATCAATTAAGATCTTCCTCCCCCTCATAACACCCTCTCTCACTCACTTTGTTCATTTGCTTCAACCTTCTAGCAACCTTTAATTCACAACAAAGTACCTCACCCACCCTTCTCACCTTTTTCTAACCACAAAATTTGGACAGAAGAAAAGAAAAATCATCACAATTCATTTGTTCAATCAATCAGCCTGTGGGGTGGTTCAGGTTGGATGTCTTGTGGGGAATAAATCACTACTTGGCCCAATTGAAATGATTCCTTTTCTCATTTCTCCTCCCCCCTTTTCATTTACCTTTTTTTGTTTTTGGTTTTCAGTTTTGGTTTAGTTAAAACAAATGAAAGAACAACAAAAAAAGGGCAAATGTGTGTTATTACTCTCTTACCTATCACATCTACATCCATTCATCCATGTTTTCTCCTCCCTACAACTCCATCTCTCTCTCTCTCTCTCTAAAAACCCTTATAAAATTTAATTTAATTGACTCCTCCCCTCCCATTCTACAAATTTCTCCACAATCCTAAACCCCCCCCAAAAAAAACTCACATTCATCTTTGACTCAAATCAGCTTATTTATCTTTCTCTTTTCATCCTTACCGTGTGTTTTATGTTTGGTTTTTTTCATTTAGTTTAGTATAGCTTAGTCAAACTCATTTTTTTTTCTGCTGACTTCACTCTTCCCCCTCCTGATCTCTTCCTTCCTCTCTATTTTCTTCTACTTGGTATGTAAATGTCTGCTCCTTTTTTTGCTGCTACTTAAAAATGACTGGTTGATGTCTCTTTCTTTCTTTCTTTCTCTCTCTCTCTCTCACCCTCTGCTTCCATCTATCATTATAGTCTTTTCTCTTGTTTTTCTTTTGTTGTTGTTGTTTTGGCTTCTTCTTTTTGTTCTTATTCATTCATCCATCCATCAACAAATTGATTTTTTTTTAAAGTGAAAAAAGGGTCTGTCTTTTTGCACACCACAGAATTCTCCTGTGCACTCTTGGAGTGCACACCAAAGTTATTGATTTTTTTCAGACTTTTAGGCTCTTTTTAGCCTTTGAAATGCTTGGAACATACTGCAGAGCATTCACCAATGCATAAGGGTACACACTACAGGTATGTTGAGGAGTCTATGAAGTATAACCCCATGACTATACATGGTCAAACCCCATATTCATGGACTTAGGCATGTCTGAATACATGCATGTGACCAAAAAAAAAAACAAGAACCGCTGGTGCAGAAGCTAATAAGTGGTTACAACTCTGAGCTCTACACATGTGTACAAGCTCAAAACTGCAATAAAATTAGGTGTGAGGGTATATGCCCCCCCAGGGATAGGCCCCACATGTCAATTTTGAATTGTGCGTGTAGTTCAGGGTTGGTTTATGCCATCTGCAACTGTAACACTAGTGTTACTATGTGTGTAGGCCCCCAAAATGCACCTGCAATGCTGTGCTAATACACTGGTTAGTGGCACTTTGGACCTGTAGTGGATGTTAGCGGTCTGTAGGGCAGTATAGCTTGGCAAATACGCACTAATATTCCACTATCAGTACACAATTTGTGGGCAACAAAAGCTGCTGCTGCACTAATGTGGCCCGCTGTTGGAGGCAGGTTGGTTTGAGTGAGTTTTTCAGCCACAGAGTACAGTCTCCTCCCAGATGCTTATAGCCATCTGTTTTGAGCTCCACACCTGGAACCCAAAAATTTCATGTCACAAGAGTTGGTGGAATGGTGGAAAATGGGTCTCAAAGAATGAATACATATGAAAAAATAATAATGATAAACAAGATTATAAAATTTGTAAAAAGTAAAAAGGAGACAATCACAAAAACTGACAGCTCTAATATCTCTTTCAGGAAAAGATGAACTCTCCAAATTGATAGTATGAGATCTGGAATGAATAATAAGAAGTGAAAATTTGGGAAAAAAAATGACTACTTTGTGGTTTAAAAAGGCCTAGGGGGTCATTCATCAAGAAATGTGGCATTCTGGTACTGCAATCTACTGATTTTGACTGGAGGGTTGTTGATGTCTGAGTCCTAACACAAAACTTCAGCCCACTGTCATACTCAAGATCGAAATAAATTATATTTTGATGACATCATTTGTGCTTGAACCTCAAAGTTCTCAAGCCTCTACAATGATGTCATCGATGTCATTGTGCATGATCCCTCGTCTATCTTTTCCGATTCCTTCCTCTTCCTTATCATTGCCGGAACTCTTCTAAGATTCTTCCTCCCTCAGGACCTCATCATCTTTCCATCTCGGTTCCTCAATTGTTAAATCCTCATTCGACATAACTTTTCCTCATAAGATTATCCTGATTAAGACGAACATCTTCTCTTGTCTTATTAACTCATCCTTCCTCTTCTAACAAACTCCCCTTCGACAATCATCCTTTCTCAACACACTTACTTCTCATCTTAACTGATCTCCTCGACTATCATTCCCTTCCTTGCGACTCATCGCCGACCATCTTTTCTCTCCCTTCTTTCCGACATATCACCGACCATCTCTTTCTAAAAAGAAACCTGTCCTCTATTGTCGTAGGTTCTCGCAGCGGTGGGCCGCTACGCTACGCTACGCTTTTGGCCCAAAAAGCGTAGCGTAGCGGCGCTTTTTTTCATCCAAAAGCGGTAGTGTTAGCGTTTTTGTAGCGGTTTTTCGCTACGCTACGCTGCGCTACAGCGCTTTTAGCGGAAAAAGCGGCCAAAAACCGCTAAAAAGCGCTGTAGCGCAGCGTAGTGGGCCCTTTTTTGCGGCCCACACGCGTAGCGTTAGCGGTGTTGTGGCGGAATCCCGCTACGCTACGCTAAAGTTGCGTGGAATTCCGCTACGTTACGCTGCGCTAACCGCTACGGTTAGCGTAGCTGGCCCAGCGTTGGTTCTCCTCGTTTGGTTCTTTCTCATCGATGTTCTTATATTGACCCACTTTCATTTGTTAGACCTATTTCCTTCACTTGTTGTTCTAAGATATTTTGTTGTTCATTTCATCATCCATCTACTGCTTTTAGGTGATTATTTCTTTTCTTCTTTTCTAAAGTTTTCTATCTTGTATTTCATTTGACTGGTACTCATGAAATACATCTTTCAGTCTAAACATTGACAGATTTACAGTCTCGAACGCTCAATCATACCGAACGACTTCGAAAACACTAAAGCAGTAATGGCGGACAACACTGAACAATCAATCAAAACTGAACACCTTCTTCCAATCCTCAACGGAAAGAATTATCCCTCGTGGTATGGCCGAATGAAGGTGCAACTCCGTGGCAAGGATCTCTGGTCGGTCTGTGTGACTCCTCCTGTCGTCGATCCCCTCACCCCAACTACTGCGCCAGCAAACACTACTTCTAGCGACCGTGCAATCTCCATCATCGTCCCCCGCCTCAGTCAACATTGCTATAATGAATGTGTCAATAACACAACCATCGACAGTGCCTTCCTCTTATGGAAGAAGATTGCCGACCAATACGCTTCAAAAACGGTCATCAATCAAGGACGAGTCTACATGACCTGGTCCGCATTGACTTACAAGGGTGATTTGCAAGAATACATTGACAATACTCGAGCGTGCTTGATCGACATTGACGCAGTCGGCATCAACGTGCCAGTCAAAGTAATTGCTTATCTTGTTCTTGGCAAACTCATGAATCAAGACCTGGATCAAATTTTTGACAAACTAGCGATGGATGAGAAGGCAATCTCAGATCCCTACTCGGTGCTAAACGAATTGCAAACGTATCACACTCACAAATCCAGCAAATCAGAGAAGAGTACTGCCTTATATACCGCATCCTCAACTGTCTCAAAACCTGTGATTGCTTCGAAATTGAAGTTCCCTGTCAAGATACTCCACTTCTGTGATTTTGGCGAACATAATCCAGAATCCAATCATCCAGAAAATCACTGTTTTGAGAAGTATCCAGAACTGAAGGACACTTCAAAATCTCGGAAGAATCCAAGTGCGAGCTTTGCTCACGCATCTGCGTTTGTCACTTACGTTCTTCCCAATTCATCAAATTCCTTTATAATCGATTCTGCCGCCTTGCATCATATGATTCGAGATCGATCTCTTTTTACGTCCCTCACAAAACGAAAAATCACCATCAATACCGGAAACCCTACTTCACCGCTGATTGCTGAAGGATACGGATCAGTCTCTCTGTTGATCAATGACAGGGAGGTAGTTCTGACTGACTGCCTCTTGGTGCCAGGTATCTCCCAACAGCTCATCTCTTTGGTTTGAATGATATCCGATTTGGTTACTATCAAGAAGTCGGGAACAAAATTCATCATCTCTGATACGTCTGGGACCCTATTTGAAGGACAGATCATAGACAACACCAGGGGAAATTTCAGGGCACTGGCTTTCCAGTGACTGCAAATCACAAATAAGTCACCCTGGAAGATTTGAATTTTTTTGTAAAAATCACTAAAAGGATCATGATAGAAAATGGGACTCACAAGAAAGTCACTAGATTTTACCCAGAACTTACTACTAATTTCCCAGAAAAGAAAATGAATGTCCTCTAAAATTCACTTTTGCTTACACCTAGTTTTCCCCCAAAGATAAGGCTGCTGATTCAAATAAAAAAATAAACCCATGGCCTCAGCAGTTTTTTTTGGAACAAATGTTACAGATTTGATTCACAATCATATCAAGGGAAGCTCTTATTTTTTTGGTTTTCTGGCCCCTTAGAAATACATTTAGAACATCACAGAAATTCAACCATATTCAATTTTGTGATTTCTCTTTCTAAATTCATCAATAACAGATGCCAATTATATGTTTATCACACTAACAGTTTACACCTTAATCAGAATTATAAGTCAAATTCAAATTTATGTGGTAAATAATTCATTTTTGAGGGGGAAGGAATGAAGTGATTAATTTGATTTTGATCAATCACTCATTTTGAATAGTGTCACAACAAGTCCAAACCTGCTGGGTCAAGTAGCTATGTACACCTGGTATTTCCACTAAAAGATTGTGGAACAGTGACCAGGAAGTATGGTCTTGCAAGCCAGTCTGGGCACAGGCCCAAGACCCGCGTGGCCGAGTGCCAATGGGGCTTGATTTGGTAGGTCATGCGGGGACTGGAACTTGGCACCAGCCCAAGTCTGGCTTGGCCAAACCCAAGCTCTGGGCTCACCAGAGTGCAGGTTTCAGACTTGGGGCCCGGCCAAGTGTGGATTGGTGAGGTCAGCTTTGGCGCGGGTGGCACACTCACTTGGGCTCGGCCAAGCGTGACTTGGGCCTGACCCCCTCCAACTTTGGGAGGTGCCAAGCGAGGGTTGGGTTTAGAGGGGGAATGCGGGGTTTGGGATCGGCCGAGCCCGCTTGGCCTCTTTTTTGCCCAACTTGGGCCTGTGCCCAGACTGGCTTGCAAGACCATAGTACTGATCAGATAGCTAAATAGCTGGTTTTTTGTTGATTGGTCAGAGGGTTGGGATCCTCCTGATGGGCAATGCCCTTAACTGACATGATCTGTGTTGGCCAAAAAGTAAAAAAAAAGTCAGTAAAAAGTCAAAAAAATTGGTCAAAAAGTCAAAAACAATCACCCAAAAAGTCCAAAAAATTGGGCAAAAAGTCCAAAAAAACAGTCCAAAAAGTTGAAAAAAAAGTCAAAAAAGTTGAAAAAAAGTCAAAAAAAAAGTCAAAAAAAAGTCAAAAAAAAGTCAAAAAAAAGTCAAAAAAAGTCAAAAAATAAAATAAAAAAAAAGTCAAAAACTTGGTCAGAAACCCAAAAAAAACCAAAAATCAAAAAATCAAAAATCTAACGGTTTTTTTTTTGGTGAGGATGGGGGGGGGGGGGGGTTAGCAGAGGCGCTAAAGGGGCTGCTTAACGGACAGTCTCATGTCGGATTACGCGTAATCCGACATGAGACTGTGCTGCAGCAGCCCCTTCAGAGCCTCTGCTAACCCCCTCTTGCAATACAAGATGTTTCTCTACAGAGAAGAAACGTCAAAGATAGACCACTGGCACAACACA